TTCAAAAATAAGCTGGCCCCATGGCTGAGTGGTTTAAAAGTTCCTGCACTCTGCTTTGGCAGCCCAGGGTTTTGCCAGTTCGGATCCTGGGCGCGGACATGGCACCGCTCATTAGGCCATGTTGAGACAGCGTCCCACACAGCACAACCGGAGGCACTCACAACAAGAATCTACAACTATGTACTGGGGGGCTTTTGGGAGAAGAAGGAAAAAAAAAAAGACTGGATTGGCAACAGTTGTTAACTCAGGTGTCAATCTTTTAAAAAAAGAAAATCCAGCTCCATGCTACGGGACTGTCAAACAACAAGACTAGTTTTTCAAAATATACACCAAAACTAGGGAGTCCGAACAAACGCCATCCTTTACAGTTAGAGTCGTTCTTCCCATGAATTTGTCTGTCACTTCTCTTCTGGAACTGCCCTCAATACCAGTTTACAATTATTCTAAGTTTTTTGACAGTCAAAACTAAAATCAGTTTATAATCACTCTCATTTTTTCAACCACAACAAGTCTGAACTCCAAAAGAACATCAAGCAGCTTTTCTCCACTTGACTCCAAGTAACCTGTACAACAAAACTCCACCCTCACAGAATTAAAATTTGCCCCATGAGGATTTTCAAAGGAATGTGCCACAGGCTCCAACAGTAATTCCTAAACATGAGTTCCAACCCAAGATGAGCACAGCCCACCAAAAATACAAATGTTCAAGTTTCAGGAGTAGATCACTTAGATAATGCTTGGCTTTGGTTATTGAAAAACCCATACACCTGCCTTCCTTAATACTCCTAGCATCAGGTATGACATCAGCTTAGGCGTGTAAAGGTGTATCCCATGAATTCATGACTATGCCACAGGTCTGGGGGGAAATGGCCCACTTTCCCAGGAGAGGTACCGCAGGAGGGAGTCACCAGTTTTCTGGTGACTTAATTCTCCTTGCCCACTTCTGAGACCGTGAAATACAATCTCCATCCAGCATCTTCCCCTTGTCCTCTTCAACTCCCCGACTTCTTCCCCACTCCTAAAGAACTCCCAGGAAGAGCCCGCTCTCCTCCCTCCGCCTGCAAGGTGGACCCCAGCGCCGTGCTGGAAGGACTGCGGAGGGAGGCGAGGGAACCGGCAGGAGAAAGGGAGGACGTCAGTGGGTTTGTCGTGTTTGTGTTCAGAGAAGTGTTCAAACAAGCACAGGGAGGATCCCTTCCTGTGAGCGTTATTTTATCTCAAATACCTTTCCAGTTGTCATCTTTGGACTGCTCTCAGAAGATGTGCGCTCCATCCGACATGCCACGGAGGATGGTATTTAGGTCCCTCTTTCCTTCACACTTATGACTGAACCGCAAAAGCGACATCCCAGCCCTCTCTACCAGCCCCACCAGCGCACCTTGTATCTACAGGCCTCTATGGCTTCTTGTTCACAACGACGACAAAGCAGACGGCTTCCTGTTTTCTTAGAAGGCAGCCTCTGTACAGAATTCTATGGTGGTCTCATGTACTGTTTTGTTGGTATATTTTTTCTTTTTCTCCCCAAAGCCCCCTGGTACATAGTTGTATATATTTTAGTTGTGGGTCCTTCTAGCTGTGGTATGTGGGACGCCGCCTCAGCATGGCCTGACCAGCGGTGCCATGTCCGCGCCCAGGATCCGAACCGGCGAAACCCTGGGCCGCCAAAGCGGAGCGTGAGAATTTAACCGCTCGGCCACGGGGCCGGCCCCTTGTTGGTATCTTTAAGTGATTTCCCTCCCAGACTCAGAGCTCCTCGGAAGCTAACACAGTACCGTGCTCACCTTTGTATCTCTAGCACACAGCAGGCACAGACTCAATCTGCTGAGTCAAGTGAATGAGAGACTTGAAGGAGATTTCAGAAAAAGGATCAACAGGACTATTTGGAGTTGTGTGCATACAACTGTTTTGAAGCATTTTCCTAGAGTAAAAATTAGAGTTACTAGCTTGAGCAATAAGAGTAAAGATATTTAAATCATTCAATGGTAACAGATGTCATAATCACATGGCAGCTTAGCATAATGGCACCTATTAGATGAGCAACTTTAGACAAGTGTTCAGGCAAAACACTTAGCCTTTCTAAGTTTTCCATTCTGTTAAACCAAAAAAAAAAAAAAAGAAAAGGCGAGAGAGGTGGTAATAATACGTGTTCTCCCTAATCACAAAGTCACAGTGAAGCTCAAATACAGAATGTATAAGATCAATCATTACACAAATATAATGTATTATCAGACAGATTTAAACAAATAATTCTCATCGTTAGTGTTACTTTATGTGCACACGCTTGACTAAAACACGAATAAAGTTCAGACAACAGAGCATCTTATCAAACATATAATAAATATTATAATATATGCGCATCATGAAAAAATTTTCAATCCTGGGAATACTTGCAGAAACCTCCTACCTATTCATCTACAGAAAAGCTCATGATTATGCCTAAGTTCAATTCTAAATGATTCTCCAGGCTATTCTCTCCGGTGCAGAAGCAGGAGGCTTTACCCACCAAGTCCAGGTGACCTGCCTGAAGCACCAGACATAGCACAGGGCTCCGCAAGGCGCCCTGCAGCTGACAGCCCAAGGAGGCACGGAGCCGCGTCTCAGCTCGGAACATCTCAGCTCGGAACATCTCAGCTCGGAGCAGCTGATCCAGGACCAGAGCCTGAAAACACAGGCCAGCACAAAGAAAATTCTTTAACAGGATACAGCTCAGACTGTCACCATAGTTAGGACTGACTACAACCTGAACCTAAAAAAAATGAATAAAGTCAAGGAATGAGTGCACTAAAGCCAGCAACACACGATAAACACATAGCTAAATGCACCTTTTTTTTAGAAGAAAAAAAAGTACTTTTGTCAGAGCAGTAACTGTAGAGAAAATGTAAAACAAATAAAGGTTCATTCAAAATTTGCTACAGACATACAAATAACACCATCGTATAGATTTGGGGCTGCTGGGTTGTTCTAATTTCACTTGAATTCCTAAAAATGTCTACCAACTTCTCCAATGAACCATCTTCTCTACCTTTAGCAAGACAGACAGATGGCCAGGATGCTGACACCGCAGGCCCAAGGTTTTCCAGCCAGTTATCCACAGCTAAAAGAGATGAATACAGGATAAGGAAGTATAAATCTATAAGAAACCAACTCAAACGAAGGCATACGCCAACCAAAACAATCCTGTGCTGGAAAGCAAACCATGCGCTTGTCCTGAAACTGTGTAAACCTTGGCATCCCCAGGCTGCGTGTAGGAGTCTCACACCTTCTGAAGGAGAGAAAGGTGAGCTAATCAGCGTGAGTCCTAGAAACAGTTCCTCGGAATCATCTCTAGAAAGACCCAGAGAAGTAAACAACGATCAGCTGGAAGCAGATACACCAGGAATAAGGAGCTTCCAGGATTTCCCTCTCCATGTGAAAGCAATCAACTACTATTTTTAATTTCATTCTGACGCAAACATGCAGCCAGACCTCTCTCTTGCTGGCTAATCAAAGATAGCTGATTTGTTACTATAAAGGAACTCTTCCACAAGTCAGATTTGAATGGAAGTCATCGCAGATTTAATGGCAATGCTCTAGTCTAGATGAATGAGGTACCTTGAGAGGCAGAACGCATGGTAATGCCCTAAACACTTCACAGAAACAAATACTGGGGACGGGCCAAAGAATAACTTGCCAACTGATTAACTGAAAAAGTAATACATTGGTAATTAAGTGCAAAGGAAAACTGTACCTCCCTATACACTAGGAAAACCTAACAGGGGGTTATTAAAAATAATGATTTCCTTCCATGCCCAGCTAGATTTATAACCCTCAAATCTACGTCTGGTTTTCCGCTGTAAAAGACTGCGGCGTGGGGGAGATAATGCCTTGATAAGTAAGCAAAGTGTCAGAACTCTCCTGGGAACCTGACACAGTCTTCTTTTCCAATCAACAATTTTTAATCCACTTGAAAAAATGCTGGTGAAGAGGCCCTTTGGCCCTCAGGAACTCAGTAAGAATATGCAACTCTGGGGACACCACCACAGTCCTGACATCAAGCTTGGAGAAAAGGCCGCTTTTGTCTGAGGCAGCCTGTGATAAAAACAGGAACTTTATGGAGAACTGATCACAACTGCACAAGAAGCCGGATCACATGCCCAGAACAGCGCAACGTTTCTCTCACTGTCGTCCAAGGGACTTTTCTAACCACAGTGGCTTGACTTATTCCATTCTTTTAATTCTCAAAATAAATCCAACCCTCCTCTACCAATCCATTGTCAAAAGAAAGAGGGTGCCGGCCAGGATTTGCATGTATCCGGGAGCCACCTCTCCTCCCCTCTTCAAAGACTCCAAAAGGTGACGAGATGCGGAAAATTCAGCCCGAATACAGGCACCAGGAAAAACCCTTACGACAAAGGTGGTAGAAAGCAGCCCCGTGCGTCCCACTCTGGGTTAACGCCGCTGCTTCTCATCTCCCTAGGACCCTCCACGGCCCACCCCGCTTCTGTGCACTCCTGTCACTGGGGAGGCATCTCGCATTGTTAAAGGAGGAGGAAGAAGAAATGCTGCGGATTTCCCATGTGCCTTTCTCTCTTTCCGAAGCGGGGGAGGGGGGCAGAAACAGGCGTGGGGCCCTCCCCTCGCAAAGGGTAGCGGAGGACAGGAGAAAGCTGTCAGCCGCCGGCTCGCAGCCTCGCCCCCCCGCCCCCGGGCCCAGACGCCAGGGCAGAAGCGGGAGGGCGCAGCTTTGTCTCGGGTTTTGGGGGGCAGGGAGCGCAGAAGCAGCCCGGGCCAGGGGAGGACCTCCCCCAGCCCCCGCTTAGCCCCCGCCCAGAGAGCACAATGGACCGCCCGGGAAACCCACTCCGCGGAGTGGGAGAGGGGGGAAGACGACCCTCAGAGCCCGGGCCCGATTCCTGGCGGCCTCCTCCCCTCCCGCCCGCGCGGCCACCAGGGCGCGCGGCGGGGCCCCGGCTCCCCCGGCCGCGATCCGCAGCGGTGCCCGCGCCCCCGCCCGCTCCTACCCTCCGAGAGCTCCAGCTCCAGCTCCGCCAGCTGCGCCCGCACTTCGGGCGGCAGCGCCGCCACCGCGGCCGGCGCGGGCTCCAGGCCTCGCTCCGCCATCCCGGCTCCGCCAGCCACACTCCGGAAGACAAGAGAGGCGGCCGAAGGAGGGACGGACTGACGCGGGCCCACACCCCGGCTACAGGATCCGGCTCCGGCCGCCGAGCGCCGCCGCTGCTGCCGCCGCCGCCGCCGCCGCCATGAGCGAGGGTCACGTGAGCGCGGCGGCCCCGCCCACCCGGGCCGAGGACGCTCCGCCTCCGCCGGCAAGGCCCGCTGAGGACTCGCGGGCCTGTGGCGCCCTCTACTGGGCATCTCTGAACCTACGAGCCCAAGCCTGCCAACCCCGGATTCTCTTACGCGAAATGGGCTGATGGTGGTGATGTTCGCGTGGACGCGTAGCGTTTGTCTTTAGGAACTCATGAGCAGGAAGATCTGAGGGGCCCCAGGCCTTACTTTTCCCGGTTCTCTTCACTTAGTAGTGTATGCCGTTGTCTTGCCCGTTCCTCCATTTTCCCCTGATTGACACCTACCCATCTATAAGGACCTGAACACAGGCCGCTTTTACTGGGGCTTCCCTGTCCTATGGTCTTATTGTTTTTATTTCAGTTGCTGTGCTTAAGACAATGGAGGGAGGATATGCTTCCTCCTCCCTAGACTTCCAACTACTTGCAAGACGGGAACTTAGTCTTCTTTATCTTTTTATCCTCCTCAGTGTATGACTTAATAGGTGTTCCAAAAATATTAACATTTTAATTTAATATAAGGAGGATCCAAGCATTTGTGTATGTTTACCAGGAACTTCTCGGCAGATGCTTTAAATTGTCATTCATATTCTTTCTTTAATAGTGTTGGATCTTTTCTTATGCCAAAGCTCCCCTTCAGAATTTGAGGGCTTCCAGTGTTTTTCACGTTTCTTCCATGCTGACTCAAAACTGGTCCTCTGAGAGAAAAAGCCTCAACATCTATTCACTACTTTTTAGACAGTATTATATCATTCATGAGCTGGAAGAAAAATTTCTTTAAGTTGAGAAAAGAATTTCAGCTTGAAAAAAAGATGTGACGTCACGGCTGATTGAGGAGTGGACTTTGAAATTTCCTTTTAACTGCAACAATGTAAGAAGAATCTGTAGGAATATATTTACATATGTCCTCTGGTTTACACGAGGACCGCTGCGGGTTTTTTTGAAAGGCTGCAAATTCATTGACGTTCCTCCCATCAAAAAACGAAGTCCATGAGCCCTCCCCTGAATCTGGATGGGGTTCTGATTGCTTTAACCAATAGAATATGGCACAAAGTACAGCATAGGGAATATAGTCAATAACATTGTAATAACTGTGTATCGTGACAGGCGATTACTAGACTTGTTGTGGTGAACATTCTGTAATGTACATAAACATCAAATCACTATGCTGTAGGTGCAGGCCCTGTGGCCGAGTGGTTGGGTTCGGGTACTCTGCTTCGGGGCCCAGGGTCTCTCTGTTCAGATCCTGGGCGAGGACGTGGCACCACTCATCACGCCATGCTGAGGCAGCATCCCACATGCCACAACTAGAAGGACCCACAACTAAAAATATACAACTATGTACCGGGGGCCTTTGGGGAGAAAAAGGAAAAATAAAATCTTTAAAAAAAATCAGTATGTTGTATACTTGAAACTAATATAATGATATAGGGCAACTATACTTCAGTTAAAAAATAATAAAATAGGGGCCGGCCTGGTGGCAGAGCTGTTGAATTTGCATGTTCCGCTTCGGTGGCCCGAGGTTCGCCGGTTCAGATCCCGGGTGTGGACATGGCACTGCTTGGCCCGCCATGCTGTGGCAGGCGTCCCACATATAAAGTAGAGGAAGATGGGCACGGATGTTAGCTCAGGGCCAGTCTTCCTCAGCGAAAAGAGGAGGATTGGCAGCAGTTAGCTCAAGGCTAATCTTCCTCAAAAAAAAATAATAATAATAAAATGAAGATCAATTAAAAGTAAAGATTAAAAAAAGAATAGGGCACGAGTGACGCTATGTGACTTCCAGGGTTAGCTGCTAGGCGGCCACGCAGCTTCCCTGGTTCTCCTGGAATGTTCCTTCTCCAGAGAACCCTTCTCAGGCTCCTCCCTCCCAGGACACTCTCCCCAAGAACCTAGCAGCCATGCAAGGAGCTGGCCACACGGAAGATCATCTGAGGTGCTCTGCTCACCTGCCCCCCAGCTAAGCCCAGGCTTTTAGTCATCCTAGCCCAGGGCGAATGAGCCTCCAGAAGATTCTGGCCCCTAGACCACACCAGCTCCTACTGAGGCTGAATATGCCACATAGTCATTTTCCCACCCTCCTTGGCAGGCGTGTGATCCACTGAGGGAACTATTGGAAGGGGAGTGTCTGGGGTGGATTTTCCACCCTGGTGAGAGATGCACAAGGAGAAAGTGCCCCTTCACTTCCTTCCTGTCTTCAGATGTTGCCTTGTTCAGGGCCTCAACAGTCATCTAGGGAAAGCTAAGGAAAGTACAGAGACGTCCCATAGAACTTGACAGAATTAGTCTGCTAAAATAAGAAGTTCGAGACCCACCTATATTGGGCTTCTCCTTCTTGTTATATGAGAAAATAGGTTTCAACCTTTTTTAGTTGACTATTCTGCTATTTACAGCCTGAAGCTTTCCATCTGATACTGAATTTGTTACCAAAATGAGGTATTACAGGTAAGCAAAATGTGAAATGGCTGAATATGGTTGCAAAATGTCTAGTAAACTATTATGACACATCACATGTAGACTGGGGTTGTTTTGCTAGGGGAAATGATCAGAAAAACTCAGGATTTGGAGGAGTGAGTTGACTACTTGATGTGGTTTTCAGTAAATTCATACAAGAATAAAGAGGTTGAAGATGTCCCAACTGAGGACAGTGGGTGGGGGGGTGGAGGATGGCTTCACCAAGAAGCTTTTCAGGCTGCGATCTAGGTTGACAGGGACGACAGAGTGGAGCTTTGTTGGCTGGGGGAAGCCAATTTCTTCTATGCCCAAGTTAAAGCCAAGACAAACAGAAGCAAGAATGTGAGAGATTTAAGAGGTGAAGCTGAAAAGATTGGGGTTCCAGATCATTAAACAGTCTTTGTCAGATGAAGGGGGTACATTTCGTAACGAATACAAGAAGCCTGGCAGAAAAGATTAGATTTTGGGAGGTATTCTCCCCCTCAGGTCATTAATTTCAAATTGTCTCAAGGAACAGACCTTTAAACTAAAGGAGAAGGGGTATTTGCCGAGTACAGGGACGGGAGTCATGAGGCAGAAATTCTCAGGCTTAGCAACTAATCAGTGCCATCAATAGAGCCACATGCGTAATGTTAGATTTTCCAGTAGCTACCTTAAAAAGGAAAAAGAAAAGCACATCTCAATTCAGATTAGCTACATTTCAAGTGTTCTGTAACTACATGTGGCTGGGGTTACCGTCTGGGACAGCATGGGTCTAGACATGATCTTCCCTGCTTTATTAGCACATGGAATTGACTGGATTAAATAGACCAGAAACCCACTAAATTTTTGCAATAAATGTATTGCCAACGACACTCCAAACCTGGCTTTAACTGCCTCTAATTTTTCAACACTTAAAGTAAACCCTAAATTCCCGACTCCCACCCACAGGAAAAGAACCACCCAAACTCTGTGGCCCCCAAGAAGGACATGTTCCTACTGCCCATACCAGGTATGCCAGTGAAGGACAGTGGATGACTAAGACACCCCCCAGAGATCAGAACTAGAGGCTACCAGACTAGCTAACCAACTGATTTATTCCATTTGCCATAGTAGGCGTCCTCATTAGTCCTGTCAGGCAGTATGGTATATTGTTTGCAAAAAGGGCTGCACTTCCCTCCTTCTCCCCATCCCACTGTATTCACTGCCCTTAGGTAGATCTCGCCAATACATTGGGTTTGACCCCGTGACTTGCTTTGGCCACTGAGACAACAGCAAACATGACAGAGCCGTGGAAAGTGCTTGTGCCTTGGGGCTTGCCCCTGCTCTTTCTGCTTTAGAAACTCTGAGACCACTGCCTTGTGAATGAACGTGAGCTAGATTACTAGATAAAGAGAGATATGGCCCAGCTACCCTCCTCGTTCCAGGCAAAACCCAACTAACAGCAAGGTCTAAGAATGAAGTCATCGACTGCCAGTTGATCGCAGGTCCACAAGTGAGCCCTGCAGAGCCCAGCCCAAAGGGTGCAACGCACGAGAGCAAAAAATGGTTGCCATTTTAAGCTACTAAGTTTTGTCAGTTTGTTACATGGCAAAAGCTGATGAAAACGGCATGATATATGCTCAGGAACAGCGTCAACTGCACATTTCCTTTCTCAATGGGAGTATTATTATACTTACACTTCCTCGTCACCATAGTCTTTTGCAGTGGTTTTCGAATTTTGCAAACATCAGAGTTGTGTGGAAAGGTTATTAAAACATAAGTTGCTGGAGCCAACCCAGAGTTTCTGATTTTGTAGGTTTTGAGTGTAGCCCAATAATTTGCATTTCTAACAAGTTCCTTGGTGATGCTGAGGCTGCTGGGTGTGAGGACTACCCCTCAAGAACCATTGGTCTATTGGACATGTTGGAAAGAGTTAACTTGCCTTGTAACTCCAGGTTGCTGGTCCACTAGGAATCATCTCCAGACCTGAAGGGGAAGATTGCACAGTCCAGAGGTCCTAGACCTGGAGCTGGAGGAGGGAGCTGCCTGATACTGGAGTTGTCTCCCTTTGAGGGACGGGATGGGATTTCATGTAAATGAATTATACAAGTTTTTTTTCAGGTTTTTTTTTTTTTTTTCTGAGGAAGATTAGCCCTGAGCTAACTGCTGCCAATCCTCCTCTTTTTGCTGAGGAAGACTGGCCCTGAGCTAACATCCATGCCCATCTTCCCCTACTTTATATGTGGGACGCCTACCACAGCATGGCTGGCCAAGTGATGCCATGTCCTCACCCGGGATCAGAACCGGCGAACCCCAGGCTGCCGAAGTGGTACGTGTGCACTTAGCCACAGTGCCACCAGGCCATCCCTGGTAATATTTCTTTAGTGGTTAATAGTTATTCAGGTTTTCTATTTCCTCCAGACTGTTTTTTACTTTTTTGTTTTCAGTTTAATTGCCTTTGATCAGAAAAAATGCAAATCAATACATTGAAATTTCATTTTTCCTATGTAATCAAAAATGTGATCAATTTTTATTAAT